ATTGTGAAAGAAAAGACTGATCAAGGACTGTTCCGTTACCACAGGGGGGCGCTTGAGTTAATACAGAAATAGTATGCAGCACAAAGATGCATTATATAAGACAAAAAGAAAAAACATAATACTCTGTAAAAAGTGCCATATATTTAAAGTATTGCCATTAATTAATGAAGCTAAATTTTAACATCTGCTATATAATGTAAAGCAGAGTTACAACTGTATAATTTTATAGCAATTTAGCATTTTTGTAATGAAAGTGTAGCAAATAGGGTCATGAGCTATAAATGAACATGATATGGTATGACTTTAATGCAGAGATCAGGGTCTAATGATTTACATTAAAAATACATGAATACATTTGGTTCTGAGATCATTTTAAATGGTTTTATAGGAGCTACAACATGTGAAATACAGTATTTACAGTATATGTCCATGTGCAGTCACTATGGGAAGATAAGTGTGAAACAGCAAAAGAAAGAGTCCCCCACAATAAAAGAAAATACACAAAAACACCTAGATTCCAAACAAGAAAACATGAGACCAACAAGTTATCCAGCGGAGCTATCAGTCACAATCTCTATCAAGTGCGAATATCTGTTTGTAAAACTGAATAATTTATACAGCCAATGCATTATTGAACAAACCAATGCATCATAAGATGGGCTTGACATTACTTATTAAAAACCACATCTCAAACATTTTTACAATAGTAGCTTTGCATTCGGTGCCGCTAATGTTTTTATTACACTATTTGCATGTTGTTGAATAATAAAGTGTATGTCAAATTATGGCATCTTTTATTAAAACCTAGCATCTTGGCATTAAGTGTTGTGCATCGTGGAAGTTATAGATCATAAATAATGTAGCTTTGGTCTCAGAAGACTAGGGGTTTGAAGAGTGTTTTTTTTTCCACAGATGAAATAGTAGGTGATTATTATGTTAAAATGGCTTTCCATCAGCAATGTAATGATTCCAGCAATATTTCCCTGTTAAAAGAACACTGTACGATGCAATTTCTCTCCCACATAATGCTACCATTACCATAAAATACCACACCTAAAGGTTTCCATCCTTCACCACTTTGGAATTAACAAGATACAAAATAATGCTGCCCTATAAAGAAGAATGTGATTTGTCACAGCTCTTTATTTTCCGACACCATTTATTAAAAGCCTTATTTTAGGACTATTAGCTCAATCCTGTGTACATACAATGAACTAAACATATGTACACAGGGCTGAGCTAAAAATATTAAAGCAAAATGAAGTACGTTATCAAATGAAAATTAAGTAGAAACCATTTTACAGCACAAATTCAGTAGTGTCTTTGTAAAAAAGTCCAAGTCAAATCATTTGAGGAGTCCAAATCATTTGAGAAGTGCAATTGAATACATATTAAAATCAGTAGGTGGTGCTATAGTGTCTTATGAAAGCACTGCAATTCAGCATTACATCTTGGATGAAAGAGCATGTCCAAGGATTTAAAAAGTCCTCACTTCTCTCTTATATATAATAATAAAACGAATCTAATTCACGAGAATTCACGTTTTCCAAGAACATAAATGTCTTTCAGTGTGTTTGATTTTCTGTATATTATTAAAGGACATTTGAAAAAAATGATTATCTGTCAGACTGTTTACAGAAATATAAATAACTACTCCCTCCATTGAAAACCAAGCAATCAAAATGCTTTTGCCTTTCAGGATTGCAAGATTACCAGGTGTCCACAGCAAGTTTAAACAGAGTACAACCTGTGTTAGAGCTCTTACGTTCACTAGGTCCACTAAACTGGAAACAGTACTGAAAACAGCAGATGGTTCCAAAGTTGAATATTTAGACAGTGGAGGACTTAATTTTGGGGTATCATAAACTAAACTATTGATAGAGGAACTCACAGTAAAGGCAACTGCACTAAGCAAGACTTTATGCACCATCCTACATCTGTTGATGTAATGCAGCCAATTACTTTTAATATTGAGGTACTGCACCCTCAGCTTTATAAAGATACATTGACCTTGTCAAACTGTTGCAGTGATATATGCTAAAGGGACTTTACTAGTTCAGTAGAAGGGCTGATGTTTTCATTATTGCTTTGCTGGTTCTCCCTTTGTCTCACTATACAAAGAGTCTATCATTTCAAAAGTACTTGATTGTTGTCTGAAAAAAGAAATGCGAGGAAGTATATTGTATATAAACTATTATATGGTAGACTGCATAATGGGCCTGCACAGCCTCAGGAGTATTACATAAAACATTAATATCTGTGTCAACAGTGAAAATTCTGACACTCCACACTAGGTTCTTTTATAGAATACCATTCTAAATTCCGATTACAAAATGCCTTGCAATACAAACAGAATGAAAAGAAAGCATATTCTTTCAGATGGTATATACCAGATATTAAAAGCCAGACTAAATAAGTATGTTTTAAATTATATTCTAATAAATAGAATTATATTTTAGTGAAGAACTATCACTATGGACTTTGCAATGCAGGCAGCCTAAGACAGCATTAGTACTTAAAAGAAAAATGTGACAATATCTGTAATCTCCTATTCAGTTTAATGGCACTCTTCCCACTTACAGAATGGGCCTTGCTGACCAATATGCAATTAATAAAATTATGTAATGTCATTCCTGTTGTCATTCCCAGGAAAGCTGGGTTCAAAGTCATGGAGCCAGCAGCGATGCTTTAGTTATACATTTTGGGGAGAGTGGCTGGCATTGGTTCACACACATATCAGAGGTCTCTGTTGGACTAAGCATCCTTGCTTGTCTTCCAAAATACTTGATCCTTTCATTCTAAGATATGGGGCAATAATAAGGTAAAAAAAAGGCCTTTGAACTTTACTTTTCACTTTCTGTCACAGGATGTTTGATGGAAAAGGCTAATTTTATTTGTTTTCTTCTAAATTGTGACTCTCCTCTTAAATTAGTTGTAGTACCTGCAAACCATCCATGAACCCAAACATGACATATGCCCTCTTGGGGTGGCCCTTCAGGTCTCTCATAGTGTCTTACCCAGTTGCACCTGTATGTGGTGGAATGGAATAGCAAAACAACTAGAACCAAATGGCACTCCTTTGTCAATGGAATTGGCATTCCCCAGTCCCCAGAAACAGAATGTCAAGTCAGCAATGTCATCAGCAACATCCAGCTACTACGTGAGTAGCACATACCTTTTTTTCTTTAAAAAAATGCCACTAATGTCCTCTAGTCTTCTCCAATTCCAGTGACACATCAGTAATAGTGATCAGGAAAATGGTGTTTCACTCATATTTACACAAAAACTTTGCAGCTTTCTCATTTTTTCATGCCTAATAGGATGGGTATGCTTTTCCAGCTGAGGAGTGGGTGTCCTACACTTTAAGGTTAAGGTTATTGTTCATGATGAGACGTAATGTATTACTACCTTGCCATACATATCAGAAACTATTTAAATTATACATTATATACATTATTGTGTATTAGCCTTCAGCAGGAGTTCAGATGTAAAACATACTTACTAAACATCTAAAATGTCCAAATCACAATATTTTTCACTAGGATACCTAGGCCTTCATCACACTAATGTGGTCATTATGTACTCTGCCCTTTGTCTTCATTGATTCCATGTAAGGGCATCCCCTTAATCACTCCTATTACTCATATGCTGCACACTTTGTATGAAGTAATTAAGTTGATCTGTTTTAATAGCTTTATATTCAGGCTGTCTAAACAGTTTATGGCTCCAGCAGGCCAAAGTACTTCAGTTCTGCGATGAGTGGGCACGGCTGCTCAGATCATCTGCCAGTAAGATGCTAACTGAGAGCCAGCCTTTGAGAACAGCTGTGATAATGTAAACTGTGGAGTCAGGCTGTTTATCCACTGACTGAGTTTCCCAACTACCCCTACAGCTCTAGTGGGATACTGGACCAAGTTTGGATTGTGACCTGTGATAAATACTTCACACAACTAGCAAAACATTGGTTTATGTTTTTGGGATTTTTGCAACTCCCTGCCATGGACTGTGGCATACAACAGGGCTTGTGTTCGGCTCATGTCCTCCTTAGGTCCCATCTCTTGTGCTTGGTCACATTGAGCACTTTTGAATGTTTTGCTGTTTGTGAAGACTGGAGTGCAAACATCATACTTAAATTATCCCTCAACAGTACATGGTGTTGAAAAGATTTAAAGAGATTTCTTAATCCAGACTGTGTTAGTGGAAATACATTTTTCTAAATCAGTTTTCTTGGTTGGCATGAAACAGCTGCCATTCCAAAAGACAGAGTTTTGAATTGCTTGCTTCTATTTGTTTTTAATACTTCACAGTTTACCGAGTGTCACAATGTTTTACTGGAATTCTTCTCTGAGGGGTCATCAATCAGATCTAATGGGCTTCCGTTGAGAAGAAATAATAAAAGAAGACAGTGATCCTGTATTGCTTCTTTTCATGACAAATTACAGGAGGAGAATGGCTAAAGTGAAAGTTAATTGATCTTTTTTCAAAAAGCACTGTTTGGCTTTGCTGTAATTACATAGTCATGATTGAAGCTTATCACATTTGTCTTGCCATTGCTTATAAGTCAGGAATTTGGCAGTAGTGACATTAATGTTATGCAGTTGGTGAGGAACCAATATAAAATATGCGTGTGCCCTTTGAATAATCTCTTTAAAAACTGTCTAGCCACTAGGCGACACTGCTTCCTTAATAATTTTGTGTAATTCATGATGTTTTGCAGTACCTCTGTGAAAAAAGTTCAGCTACTGGACTAAGTGATTTCACAAATGTCATTGCTGTACTTTATATTTTTAAAGACTCCAAGCGCAAGTAAAAAACAGTTTTGTGTAAAGGATGTTTTTGTCAGTCATCATGATTATGATTACTAGATTTTCAGTAATATATGTATTTCCGGAGCTATGTAGTGTATCTTAATGGAGATAAAGGTAGGGACACCTATAAAATGCTGATCATTTTTTGAATTCTTGAAAGATAAGAGAAACTTTACCAAAAGTACATGTGGATTTACATTTAATGTTTAAAGTCTGGTTTGTAGGAAGTAGAAACTGGAGAGTCACCATACAAATGTCTTTCTAGACTGAGGAATAGATGCAGGCTTCACAGAAACAGAATATAATGGAAGTTTTCTTTTTCCCAGAAAAGAACACACAAAAAAAATAGAAACAAAAAAACTAGTGCTCTCAGTAAATGACTTTAACATTTTCTGTTACAACCATTGATAGATACCACAATCAAGTGGTTGGTTATGTTTTTCCCCCTTCATTGTCACTTTCAATGCAATTACACACTGTACTGTTAAAATTACCCCTGCACAGCTGAAGGCACAGACAAATTCTCTAACATTGCTCGGATACCTGCTGTACTAAGATAACGGAGAGAAAAGGAAAAACAAGGGAAACAATCCTGTTACCAATATTATGTCAAACACATGCTGTACTGACAAATGTCAAACCAAACTGCAACACCATGTTGAAAAAGTGTTTGATGAGACTGCCCAGATGAGAAGACAGATTACTGGTTCATACTGCTAAGAAGTATAGAGGCCTGAGTTTAATTTTCCCCTTCAAGTTACCACTTCCCAAAGATATTTTTTAAAGTGTTTTGTATGCAAAGACTTCTTCACAGAACTTTAAAAATCCCAAACCAAGAATGACAGCAAAACATCTAACTTTGGATCGAATACAGGCATAGTTATTTTTTAATTCTAAATTCTAAATGTAATTATATATATTACAGCCTTATTCAGATACTGAAATACAGACACTTTGTTTATTTGTACAATAGTATGATTAAATATTTACAATACATAACAAGTGAATTTGTTATACACACAGCTGATATAGATTGACCAGCAGAAAACACTACTAAGGAGAACTTAAAGACACAGAATATACATGAAAATTTATAAATATTTTCTAGACAGTTTCACTGAAAAGTATCAGTTCACGTCCTTGTTACAAAGACAAATATCAGAATATAATTTTAACTTTTCTGCTTCATAAAACAAAAGATAGAAATAGGAAGCACAAATTGTTCAGTTTCTGAATAGATTACCATTTTAGTTTTTGTAATGTAGAACACAAACGTTCTCAAACTATTTTAAAAAATACCGAAGATGTTAAATAGAAAAAACAGGAAGGGGAATGTAACAAGTGCTTGTGAAAATTCCTTTCCTTGCTAATACTGGCCTGTAGCAGGGATGTTGGTTGTGATTTATATTGAGTGTCACCAATGAAGAGTTTAATAGATACTTTTATGCTCCGTACACAAAAAAAATCAATGTTTATAAAATCAAGCAAATCATATCTGTTATATTTATAGTATATAGTAACTTCTAGCTATGGAATGCATTTGGAAATAGAACATAGGCTTAAAAATACTTTTATTTTTTTAGAATAAAGAAACCTGTATTTAAAAAAAAACTGCTTAGGAGCAGGTTCTCACACCCGAGGAAGGCTCCACAGCCGAAATGCAGTGTTTCCTTTCTTCTCTTTTCAGCCTGGAATAAACCTGTAACCTGTTTCTCTGCAGCCTACGCATGCTGATGCAGCTCCCTATGCGAACTACTTAAAAAACGTTTAACTTTCTTTTAAATGAACACCTACAGTACATACTATATGACAACTGAATAGAAATTTACCTCTTACTTGGCACATTTGAAACCAGTCAAAAGAAATAGAAGTTCCACAAGTATTGCACATGATATAACCTGTACCGAGAAAGAACTAAAGGACAGCAAACTGGTTGCTCAATCCCACTCTTACCAATTCACAGATGGAAAACAGCAAGTCAATAATGGCATTTCTTTGAAAGACTGAACCTGAGAAACCCTGGACCTGGATGACACTCAAACAGAATGAGAGCAAAACTAATTCAATAATAGTCATCAAAGTCCTCTGAATCAGAGTAATCTTCAGTATAGTGACGAGGTGGTTTAGGTAGCTGCAGTGTAGTTGAATTCAGCTGGTCTGGAACACAAACAAGAGATGTGAGATGTCAGAACATATTATTTAGTTAGAGCAGGAGAATTTTGTATCACACTCAGCTAAGACAGACAAAAACAAAAATGTAAGGGGACCAGGCTTTAAAAAATAGTGTTTTCAGACATATCATAGTAGTTAATTATATACATACAGGTAAAAAAACTATAATTATTTCATATGTTACATATATTGAGTTTATATATATCATATAGTCATATATAATAAGAAACCTAGGTAGATCTCAAAGAATTGTTTGAGGGAGACTCGTCTCACCATATCAAATAAACCTGCTATTACACTTATCTACTGTACAGTAAGTTTGCTTTGTTAGACATTTTCTTACCGCCCTTTAATTGTTATTATGTGACTAACAGCAGTTGCTTCTCTGTAGACTCCTATAATCCAAAGCAACAGTACATTGAGTATTTTTAAATAAGAGTCTTGCCTTTAAAAGTACTGAAAATATCTGACCCTGAGAAGGATGAAATGTTCCATAGTGTCACTAGTGTACACTTCAAGGCTCCCAAACCAGCAATAAATAATAAGAAACTTTGTCTTGCCTTCAGATAAAAGATGACATTTTTCAAATGAAATGGGTACAAGGATGCTTTTTGCACATCTTGTAATTTTAAAGGATCTACATGGCTTTTCAAGTGGCAATTTATCTGCACTTTAGGGGAAAGAGAGAAAGTCAGGTTCACGTGAAAAAAAGAGGATAAACCAAGTCTGAAGTAGTTCCACCTTTACTGGAAGTAATCAAATTGCAGTCCTTCATATATTATGCCGTGTATTTTGTTCAAGGGCACTGTGTGTTTTCAGTGCTCTTTCAAGAGTTTATCTGTTTTCCTACATGTACCTGAGATACACTTTCAGACTTAATTCATCAGAATGTTGTAATGATACAGTCAAAGGTATGAGTGCATTATACCTAACACATCTGAAATGGCCTTAGCAGTATAAGAAAAAAAGGTCATTTTAAATCACTATATAATCTCATTCATTATGTCTGTTTTGCTGGAGAAATCCAATGGAAATTCTATTACAGAGTTATCAGATTGAGAAATTGAGTCATGTCAACACTAGAATTAGATTAGGGAATAGGGAATCAAACTTTCTGTAAAGGGATTTGAGTAACTGAAAAAAAGCTGTTTCAAATATTTTTTCAAATCAAAACTCTGTCATATAATGGGGTCTGGAGATCCAACAGCACTGACTAAATGCACAACAAGCAGCCATGGAATTAATAGGTTTCTTTTTAAATTGGTTTCAATTGGTTTCACCTCCAGTGAATAGTTTGTCACTTGTGGCAGGCAGAAGACGAGATTCTGCTTAGCTTTTAAGTTAACAACAGGATTTTTTAATAAGATGTTGTTATGTGCCAACCTGTGGAAAGAATATCTAGAGAGCTTAGACTCTTATGCTCTTATCACTGTGAGAGAAATATCAAAATATAAACCCATATTTTAAAGAACTATAGTAAAAATCTGTAATAAATTCTCCGTAGCATCACATAACATCTATTCATACATACTGTACAAATAGTGGCAAGACAACCATGACCATACGGAGGTTTCAGCAGTCTTACCTGGAGTGATTACAGTTAGGGTGGCTGTCGCTGTTACTTCTCCATGTCGATTTCTGGCATAGCAGTGGTAGGTCCCCTCATCTGTCAGACGAACCCTTTGGATCTGCAGCCACCCAGAGACCTCATACTTCTGTGGGCCACCTCTGAACTGAGGTAGATGATTACTCTATTAATATGCTTTATTAAAATGGGGTTCATCCAGTACTCTGCTCCTATTAGTTGAGACACCGCTAAAGTATATTCAATTTGAACAGTTATATTTCTGATACAACGTTTGCTACTTCTTGACACCAATAACTGGTTTATGCTTGTTCTTTTTTCTTTTCTTCCTTCCTTTCTACAGTTTTGCTTCTATGGTAACTTCAGTAGATGCTGTGACTCAAGTGTTTTGGGTCACTACTATACTCACTCATGCACTACAGTCATTATAGAACAGAAGTACAGATGAAAAAACAATTACTCAAAACTTGTAAAACAGCAGAAAAAAATGAAGTATTTAAATACTTTGATCAAATTATTTTTTTGCTTTTGGCAGCAGAAATCTTCTTATGCTGCTCCTAAAAGTTGTCTTTCTTTTGCTGAAATAGCTATCGCACTAAAATATTTGATTACAGCACTCACCTCATTATCCAGCACATTTAATTTCAGGCTGAAGGTACTAGTTCTTACTGGGCAGCAAGAAATGATATGTATTTTGGGCAGAAAATTACACTTTGGAAAAGCTAACATCTGAATCCTATTATAAGTAGTATTGTGGCTGTAGAGAAGTGGCAAAAGGCAGCACTTAGGTTTCAGTAAAGAATATATAGAGTATTTTAGTTTTCTTGCTGTGTTCATTCTTTTCTGCGCCAAGTTCTTTCTAATGCCTTTATTCTCTATGAGTTGGGAGACACATATTCCAGACCAAACAGATAACAGAGCAGGAATAGTAATTATATCCAAAGAGCCTTGATGTTGCTGGATAGTGTAACTCAATATCTGCTCAATAAGCACTTTGAACAATCTGGAAATTTGTCACTTCTGTTTTTCATAAGATCTGTCAACAAATCACAGTGCTTCATCTAATGTAAATCTTTTGACATTTTTCTTCAGAGTGTTCTGGACTATTGTTCTGGACTGTTGTGAAATTGTGTAGAGCTGATGCATAAACCCAAATTCAGCAAATAGGAATACTAAACTAAACCACTCTTCTTTATTTTGAAGAAGCTACAGTATACGGTCATATTCATATGTACTGTATAACAGTGCCTGCAAACCTCTTACTTGTAAAGCAATATACAGGCTTTGTAACTATCTTGATCCAGATATCATGAGAGATAACTAAAAAAAAAAAAAAAATAAAATAAATGTTTATTTGCTTCTTTTCTAATGCACAATGGAAAGAATTTCCATAATATTATAATAAGTGAACAGAAATGTCATAACCACAATCTCAAACCCTCTTTCACCTTGCCTTCACTAAAGCACAACAAGAATCAAGACCACCACTAGCTGTGCTAAAAGGAGAATAATTATATACATACTGTATAGATGAAGAAAAAAGGTTAAAATATAATTCACTACTTGGTCATTCAAAAACTGTTTTGATGACTGTCTAAAATCAAACAAAGAAAATATATCTCTAGTTAAATAGAGCAATGTATCTTGGTAGCAATTGAGTTAGCAACAAAACTCTATCAATCCTCTATTTTCTCTGGCAAACTCTGCTTTCTTTAGAGAAATGTTGTTTCCATGTGTCTAAATAGGCAGGTGGCAAACAGATAAGCAAAAACATCTTGAAAACTCTACATTGTAATAGTACTTGTTTCAACAGTACAATTCCAAACTTTAATCACAGTGAAAATAGCTACCAATATAATGCATATTTTAGTAAGTGTGAATTTAAACCTTTTTAGATTATTATACATAGAGATAAAATAATAATAATAGATATAATAATAAAATAATATTATATTTATGGTAGTACTACTATTAACACACCTGTATTTTGAAACATATTTTAAGTTATGGCATTTTTTAAACTTTCTATAATAATAACTTATGTTATGCTAATAATAAATATTTGATATATCTTTAAAACTGATATATTTTTGTACTTATTATGGTTTTGTTATCCATGAGACGAGAAACTAAATAAATGTTTTATTGTTAATTAGATCCTATAATGATTTTTTCTTAACATACTGTAGGACAAAACCAAAATAATTTATGTTATGCCTGATATTTATTTCCTGACTTAACGGTGTAGAGCAAAATCAAAATTAGATTAATATTTTGAATGTAAAAGCTACTCTAGGCTTATTTATTACCATAATCTTTCGAGTTTTACAAATTTGGATTCTGCTGTTGAGTCACCTACCCTCTTGTTATTGTCACTGGAAAAGACAGGTGTTTGTCAATTACCTGGACCGAGATATGGGGATCATCTCCTGGCAGAAACATTTCTGTTCCATCTTTTCTCCATTCAATTGAGGCCATGGGATAAGCAAATACCTCACAACCGAAAATGACATCCTCACCAGTCACGTTCCATATGTCGTACGGTGGAGAGATGATATGTGGGGCTGCACAAAAGCATACAATTCCGTTAGCAGCTAAAGGGAAACCATAACTAGACCATATGGTAGAATTCATGGGACTGTATGATAGGAGTGAGTCAGGATGCCATTTTGTCTATTACTACACTTGAACAAAACTGTAATGTACTTTTATATAGTTTTTGCATACTCCAACAAAGTACTTACCAAGCCAACGTGAACACATTTTGATCTACTTTTTTTTTACTCTTTCAAAATGGAACACTTTTTAAATAACAAAATATTAAAATGAAAGAGATTAACTTCTAATTTGTTTCTAGATTTCATGGTGTCTTCAGAAAAACATTCTGCGAATAAAGAGCAAATTCTGTTTTGTGCAAACATCTTTGACCAAGTCCCCTGGTCATTTGAAGGACTCTGATACAATACTCCTTTTGCATTATGAAGATAGTTTTGGTCAGTAGAAAGCTAGGATGAAGTGTTTGCCTATATTGTCTTGTAAGGAGGGTTTAGATCTCATGCTCATATCTCGTGCTCATATCAGTTCAACACTCACAAAACCAATTAAATTCCACTTCAGCTGTAAAATTTTCTTTGACTATTCAAGTATCCACATTAGACTTAAAGTATATTACAAAACAGAGCAGTAGAAATATATACCTGTAATATTTATCAAACTAGTTTTGGGATGTGTGAAAAACTTTGTGTAAGCACTCTACATTAATAAAAATACATTTTATAGTCTCTCTAATTACAGTAAATGTGTTTTAGAATCCCACAGCCCTGCATAAGGGAAGAATTTCTAGGCCCTGAAAGCTCTACAAAGCTCATGCAAGTCTTTACTTTAATTGATTGGTCATGGTGACAGCTGGGTATACAGTCTGGGCACATGGCATGCTCTCATATAGCCCTTTCCTTCATTCCTTGCAGAGGGTCAGCTTTTATATGAAGACCCCAGATTTGACAATCTCTTTGGGAAGAAGAGAATCCAATCAAATCAAGCAATGTCGGCAGGGGAACAAAATCCATCTGCCTCTAGAGACATGGAATTTAATTTCCAGGGAATCTTGCAGAGGGGTGCCGTTTCTGTAATGTTTCACTGTTATTGATGCCATTAGTGTGTCAGGGGAACTTGGATAAATCCTATTATGGGAACTTAAACTGCAAAAGATTTGTCAATTTAGCAAACAGCAGTGATCAGCTTAGGTAAATCACAATGGGTGAAAGCTATAATACTGACTTTAGAGCATGAAACATTACAGAGGGAACAATACATCACCTGTAATGTACATTCTTGTTATCAGTCTAAAAGTAAAGTAGCAGTGACCTTCAGTTATATATCTTCCCATAGGTATACGTTTTTAACATAAGACTAACATAGCACTGAGAATTTATGAGCATGGCACTGTCTCCCTGCAATCTCAAAGAAGCTAAGAGAGTTGTTGTAATATCCGCTCAATCTGCTTTTGAGTAAATTGAGCAATAAAATGAACTTAGTGATATATCCCTTAAGGGGACAAACTTGGATACAAGTAAGGCCTAAAGATTACATAGGCTAGGGTTTCAATGTGGATTTCATAAACCTGGAGAGAAAGAAAAAAATATCTTCACGTAAAGGCCTGTTTATAATATTTTCTAAATTACTGATGTAAATCCCCACCTTGTAAGAACAGACAGCCTTACAGTATATCTCCCAAAATGATAAAAGAAAAAAAAAACAGAAATAAAGAACAACTTTAAAGTCTTTTGGGTCATAGCACACCTAAAAACGTGCTTGTTAAAAATACTTAAAACCTTGTTTGAAAAATGGTATGCATGTGCTGGCCTTCAAAATACTGAGAGACTTCAACAGTAACTGTGAAATTCACAGACTATTTACATTACAGCTTTGCGTTTAAAGGATAAATGTATTTTTTCTAGAAAATGTCATGCTCACAGCTGCATAACTGGCACTAAAGTCAATCATCATCTTTTTCAGAACTCAATGTGCAGATTTAATGGTGCAAGACATGCCCATTTTAATTTAAAGCTGAGAGTCTTTAATTAAAGGAACCTCACTTTCTCTCATTGAATGTTAAATCATTTAAAGATTATGAAGATGTAGTTTTTTATTTGTTCTTCAGAAAAAAAAAACTGATGGTCTTTTAACGTCAGCTCTAAATAGACTGCTGAACACAATAAGATCCTAGAGTATGGTAAGAATATGTTAAATTTATGTTTTCATCAGAAGATAGTCTTTTGATCTCAAAACCTTCTACCTTTCTCTTATTGAATACTCAGAGACCTCAGGAAAACAAAGTCCCTTTGTGTAGCCTCAGCTAGGAGGAATCTGTCTCCTCTCACAAATAAAAACAATCTTGCTTACTGTCAAGTTTGGAAATCTTCATATCCTAATGATTTCATTTTGTCATGTGCAATTAGGCTCAGTAATTCATGATTCCTTATTCATGTAAATTTTTATTTTTTATGTTTTTATTCTCTGTGTTCTAAACAACACTTCAAATATTACTCATGCTTTTTTTAACTTATGCTGTTAATCTGTTTTCTCTTTTAGTGAAAAGACTCCACAACATTGCATATTTCTTTTTTAGAGCAGTTAGTATAGTATAGCACTGGTACCCTCATTCTATAGGATACATAAGGTTTCAAGTGATCTCATCATTACCAGATTCATTGTGTGGCACATTGATCTCACTAGTGATCTCCTTTTTAATTTTAAGCCAACCTGAAAAGACCTTTCTTCTAGATGTTACAATCTATAGTCTATTGCATTCAACATTTAATGACAAAGAAAAAATCCACATTTCCTTAACATACTATATGTATTTCATTATTGTATTATATTATACATGTACTTTATGCTCATAAAGCCAAGCTATGAGCAAATAAGGTAACTTCTACTGAGCATTTGAAAATAATGTTAACATCCCATAACTTTTTGCAGGCTCCTGTCACAATACTTCTATAATTGGGTACACATAAATTCTCCTTCCCTAAACCCAAATGCGAATAATGAAGGGACTATTTCTTCTGAATTTAGAATTTATGATTTTTGGAAAATCTTGTTTGGCTGACCACTGGCAAGCTCATTCCATACAAGATTATTTCCCAGAGGGATTACAGTGTTTTGTATTGTTCCACTGCACGCTCAGATTGGCTTTATGTTTCAAGAGAAGAAACCTTTTGCATGGATCACTTGATACACACCATTTTAGCATTCTTTGGATGCCAAATGCAAGCAGTAAAAATATCTGGGTGGATACATAATAAGCCACAACAGATGCTTTTTGCTTTACATTGTGTTTCTTTTCCCCTCTGGAATTCTCTTTAAGGGTGAAATATCTATGTGTGTCTTTTTGAACATTTTCAGTTCTTGTGATGAATAACCCTGTGAACAAAACATTTCTCAATCTGTCACCTTATAAGTAATGAATTAGTGTGAGGAAATTTGAATTATCTTGCTTTATTCTAGATTTAATTTGTTACATATTAACTATGTTTTGGATTGAATTAATTTTATTCTATTCGTTGCTATATTTTGTCCTCTGTTCATTATATCTTGCTTACCAAAACAATTCCATCAGTTGTAATGAATAAAACCCTTGATTTAAACTGAAGCAAATTATCCATTTGCCCTTTCCTCCATTTTTAAAGATGGACAGACATGCACTGTATGGGAAGAACTGAGAGAGAGTGAGAAACAGCTTCAGGAAAGGTAATCTTGTAGAGCATTAGTCACAAGACCAACTACAGTTTGTGAGCAGTTTAGACAGCATTAAGCAGAGTGGACGACAGAGGTGAAAAATAACTCACACTGGACAAGCTATACTCTCCTATTGCTAGATTCAGGTATACTCTACCGATAGTCAACTCTGGTCCTGAAGGTCCTACGTGTCTGCAGGGATTCTAGGTTATTTAAAGCACCAGCCCCTAAAGCCTGAGTTCAACCTATAAATTTCCTATTAAGCCAATAATACGTTCATTAAGGTTTTTAAATGCTGAGTTTGAAAAACAAAATGTGTAGATGCACTGTCCATCCAGGAACTAGATGGTGCACCCCAGTCCTAGACAGTATGTCCTCTGCTGGAGCTCCACATGCACCAGACCAGATGAAATTCCAGGAAGTTGAGAACTGCACAGAGGGGAAATTAAACGACTGGAGACAGCAGGGAAATTTAGATCTTACTTACTTCTGCTTTGCAGTAGAAAAGTATATTTAATATGAACATATTTTTTTTAAATATCTTAAAGATTTAGCCATTAGTTTATGAGATTATGCTGTTGATTCCGCACACAGCTGCTGTTTTATTCTTCATGTCTCCTTTTAAATCACGGGAGGCATTGTTAAAAGCCACAGCAACTGTGAATGATTGTGAAGCTGAGAAGAATGATCAGCTATTCAGGGATTTCCAGGATTTCTTTGTCTTTTACATCTGACTGTATATTTCTTTTGAAATCATATTCCTTTATTTACTTCTCATTTTCTTTTTATGTGACTCGAATGTTTACCTAATTTGTCAACCAGTGAAAATATAGTTAATTGATACCAACTTGTGTTTTGATGATTTTGCTCCCTTGAGTCCTAAAGAATCTATGGCAGTTTTTTCCCTCACGATTGTGAGGTGTCAATTAACAGTCATACATAAATGAAACAGGTTAAAAATCTGCTGAGTGTTCAATTCAAAAGAGGTCACACATTGTAAAGAATAGCAAGCAGAAACTCATCTTCAGTATCAAACACAGACCTCATTATTAGAAAAAGTTCCAATAAAATTTAGAATTTGTTTTGCTCTTTTTAGGCCTTGCTGCAAATATCCTATGTATTACTGAACTGCAAAAAACACCAGGAATAATTAGGAATAAACAGATTGCTCACCTGTCAACCATACATAGTGATTTCATATGTCATTCAAACAAAACCTTGGCAATAAGTACTTAGGGTCTGAGTTAGTGGGTGGATTAATTCCTTAATATTGTTAGATTTCTGCTGTTATACAATTGATGTGCTATTGTATCTGAATTCATAT